TCAGCAGTTTGTATTTATGAGTGTGTGGTGATATCTCTTTGGCTTTCGTTTGTGTTTCTCTGGTGGAATGATGTTGAGCATCTTTTCATGTGCTTATTGGCCCTGAATCCTTCTTGAGTAAAATGTCTGTTCATGTCTTTTGCCCATTTTCTAATTGGATTGTTTGTTCTTTTACTGTTGAGCTTTGAGCATTCTTGCTATGTTCTAGAAGGTAGTTAATCAGATATGTGGCTTGCAAATATTTCCTGCCACTATGTGGCTTGTCTTTTCATCTTGACAGAGTCACAGCACAACTGTTTCTCCTTTTTGTGCAGTCCAGTTTATCGGTTTTTCTTTCATGGGTCGTGCTTTTGGCGTCAGGTCTAAGGAGGCTTCGCCTAGGCCTGGGTTTCAAAGATTTCTCCTGTGTCTTCTACAGATTTTAGAGTCTTACATTTTACTCTTAAATCCATGATCCATTTTGAATTAATTTTTGTATGTGGTATAAGGGTTCTGGTTAAGGTCCATCTTTTTCCCTCTGGGTGTCCAGTTGTCCCAGCACTATTTATTGAAAACATTATTCTTCCTCCATTGGTAAGGACTTTTATTTTTACATTTTCTCTTATTCTATAACAGCCCCTCAACTGCCTTTGATTTTAAGCCACTAATTTGTTGGGGAAGCCAGGTCATTTGTCCTACGGACTGTCACCTGTTTGGTGACTTCAAAGCTGAGGCTTGCTTATGCCTCTTAAAGACTCTGCCCCAAAGTCCCTGCCACTTTGGAGCCTTCTCTGACCCTCTCCCCGGCCTTGGCGAAGGCAGTTGATGCTGCCTCTGGGCTCCCTTAGTGCTGGGCACTCACCTCTCAGTGGGGTAAGGCCTCCAGGCTACCCCTGTCCCGTAGAGCAGGCACGTAGAGGAGCTGTGAGCGCCTCGATGCCGAGGCTGTGTCTTCCAGTGTCCAGCACAGCGTCTGGAAGCTTCAGGACATCTTTGTTGGAAAGATGACTCCAGCATCTCTCCTCAGGGCCCTCTGCCATGGAGTTTAACGTTCAGTCAGTGAAGAAAATAATGGGGAGCTGCCAGAGCCTCTGGGGTCTGAGCCTCCTCTGTGCATCCCCCCGGCCTCGGGGTGTGTGGATTGTATTGAAAAAGGGGAGCCATGGAGGCCCTTCCCTGGGCCCCTTTCCCTGGGGAGCAAAGGGGCTGCACCAGCCCATGTTACCCCTGCCTCTCCGGGGTCCCGGGGCTGTGCCGGGCCAACATCTTGCTGGTTTGTGGGACCTGAGCAGGCAAGGTATCCTTCCCAGGCAGGTGCCTTCCCTGAGTGTGAGAGGGCGGGACCCCGTGGCCAGCCGCCCGCCCCCACCACACTGAATGTGTGCGGGGTCTAGCGTTGTGTGCTCCCTTGGGTCCTGGGAGTGGGGCGAGTCCCAGAGACAGCCTTCGAGGAGCCGCCACCGCCTGCCTCTCCTGGGTGCCAGGGACCATGCGTCTGTTAGTCAGGACATTGCCTCGAGTATTTTCACGGGATATTATGAAAACCTCGAATCATTTGGTGCTACCCAGGCGGCCATAAAACCAAAATCTGCGTCACTTTCCTCACGTCTGAGATGTAGAAGATGCTACTTACTTCAAAGTTGCTGTGAGGAAACACATGAGCTAGTGTTGGGGAAAATGGGTTGTGGACCGTGAGGGCTGCCTGAGAGTACAGCGAATGGTTGGTAAGTCACAGGGCGCCGGTGCGGAAACATGGCGCATGGGTCCGGCTGCAGAAGCATCCCAGCGTCGTGGCCTCCCCTCCTTGCAAGGAGAGTCCCAAGCCTGTGGTAGTGCTTGTGTCCTGCTTGGAGCCTCTGGAGCAGGAGGGACAGCTCATCCAAGGCCCCCAGTTGGTAGGCGATGGGGAGACAATGTGTTTATAGGACCTGGGCTTCAGTCTTGGCTCTGATTTTGGGGCAAGTCACCCACCCTCTCTGAGTGGATTTCTTCTTGTGAACTAAATGACCTGTGTGAGGAATGTACGAGAACTCTGAGTGTTGAGTGTCACTCTGGGGCTCACAGGGGCGCTAGAGTCTGAGTGAGCTCAGCCCCGGGAAGAAGCTGGGCCTGGAGCCTTCTCCCAGGCTCCACTTGCTGAAGAGACAGGCTGGCAGGTGTCCCCTCCCTGTGGGCAGGATCAGAGCTCAGTGCTTGCCCCTTGCCACTGGGGAGTCCACACAGGGGCCTCTCAGTATTGCCTTTAGTCGAGAACAGAATGTCCTTTGACACTCCTCACCCTTGCTCAGAAGGGGAAGAATTAGGAGTATTTGCACTTCCTCTCGTACCCCCCCCCCCAATTCCCTGTGTTTATTCATTTAATTTGGGATGATAGACAAAGATGATGATCTACAACCCAGATCTTCTGTTTTAAGAAATATTTCTGGCCCTGTTTTTCAATTTTGCAACCATACTTACAGGAGCTATTCTTAGACTTGTCACTGTGTCTCTTTTTCAAAGCTTGCCACCAGGCTTTATATAGACACCTTCTCCATTTTTGAGATTCTTTATATAGATGCCTTCTCCACTTTCGAGTTTTTAATCTAGATTCATCTCTTGGTCGATGTGTTAGAGATCGCTTATTTTTACAGGAAAATAAGAATGTAAAGGGCTCTCCTGGGGTAAAAACTTAGAGCTAAGAGCAGACGTGGTGCAGGTGAGGGCAGAGGATGCCGGAGACGTTGGAGAGGGGCCAGGGCAAAGCCAGGAAGCGTGGGGAGACAGTGGGTGAAGAACTTTTTCGTCTGGGGTCAGGCTGCGGGCCCGGGGGCAACCCGGGAAGGCCCAGGGAGACCGCCCATTGGTCGGTATGTTCTGGCCGAGAGTATCAGCCAAGACTTGGAAGGGACTGTGAGAGGTCGTCTGGGCTGACCTCGGGGTTCCAGCTGAGATGGTCAGGTTTAGGGGCTTGGCCATTTTCTGGGTTCAGCAGCAGAGACTCTCTAGGGCCCGGCAAGTCTGTGCGGGGCCCAAGGTTGGCCGTGGTGGAGCTGGGGCTCGAGTTCTGGCCAGGCCCTTTCCAGGGTCCACATTCCCCACGTTACCTCATTTGCTCAGCGGTTAGATGTTCCTCTGGTCGCTTTGCAGGCTCGTCTTCCAGGCCTCTGCTGCAGGGAGACTCGGTGACCCCAGGATGGTGTTGACCAGCTTGTCAACAGATGGCAGCACTGAAAGGGATGCCCGTCAAGGCCCTGGGGCTCAGATGCCCGTGGGTATAGGAGCGGCCAGCCTCCCGGGAGTGGCTTTGCCCTTTGAAAGCGGTTCCAGCCTCCAGCCTGGCACTGGTCCCTGTTTGTAAACTTGCAAGAACCCTAATGACAGCTCTTCTTGGGTGGCCTCTGGGTTACTTTTCAATGAAATTGTTAATTTGTTACCACAGGTACTGAAATTGTGGGGCCGACATGGGAGTCCAGCTAGGGTATCTGGGCGGGACCCTGGAATGCTGTCCTGTGTCCTGCCTGCTCCCATCTTTGCTTTCCCACCCGGAATCTTCCTTTATGCCAATTTCCTCAACTCTCTTTTCTGCTGCTCTGTGAAATACCTCAAATTCTTTTGGAAATATAGAGTGAAAATCAACAGATAATAAAGTAGATGTTATAAATCGTCTTGGTGCTGGGGATTCAGAGATGGAAATGTAGTCTTGCCTCAAAGAGTGACAGTCTTGGGAGGAGAACATAGAAGCAAATGACAGACCCTCTTTTTACCTGTAACAACAGAGGTGTGTAAAACAGATAGAAGTGTCTGATTGGGGCTGGCCCCGTGGCCTAGTGGTTAAGTTTGGCATGCTCCACTTCGGTGGCTGGGTTCATGGGTTTGGATCCTGAGTGAGGACCTACACCACTTGTCAGCCATGCTGTGGCAATGACCCACGTGTAAAACAGAGGAAGATTGGCATACATGTTAGCTCAGGATCATCTTTTTCAGCAAAAAAGAAAAAAAGCAATGTCTGATCGGAGAGCGTGCTCGGGGCAGGCTCTTAGGAAGAGTGGTACCTGCGCTGAATTAAAAAATGAGCAGTTTGAAGGCGCACAGAGTGGGGTAGGACCACAGAGTCTCCAGAACAGCACAGCTGGATGGTGAGGAATGGGCGTCAGCCGTTAGGGGAATTGGAGAGAAATAGCAAAGGAAGGCACACGCCCTCAGGAGATGACCTCCTTGCTGGACTGGGAAGTGTGAAGATGTACAGATCCAGCAGGTGTTCACTGAGCACCTGCGGTGTGCCCAGCACAAGTGCCGGAGATCTAGTCGTGAGCAGAACAGTGCCCCTGCCCTCGGGGAGCTTGAGTCCAGTGAACGAGGCAGACAGTTAACAAATATATGAGTAAATGTAGTTTGTCACATGGAGGCAGATGGCAGTGAGTGCTCTGGAGAAAGAAAGCAAAGAGGTCAGCAGTGCCTGGGGTGGGGGAGGCATTGCCACGTTTGAGCAGGTGGTCAGGGCAGAGACCTAAAGGTAGTGCAGGAGCAAGCTGTGTGTCTGGGCAGAGAGACAGCTAGTGAAAAGGCCCTGTGGCAGGAGCAGGCTTGGTACGTTCAGGGAGCAGGAGGAGGCCAGTGTGGCCGGAGTGGTGGATTGAGGTGGGATTGTGGGAGATGAGAGAGCCATGGAGAGTCCATTGGGCAGTCTTGTGGGCCATTTTAAGGACAGCAGCTTATACTGCAAAGAAGGCAACAGCTACTGGAGAGTTTTGAGCAGAGGAGGGGCCTGGTCTGGCTAATGTCTTGGAACGGCTCACATGGCTTTTGTGTGGGGCTTGGACAGCAGGGGCAAAAGCAGAAGCAGAGAGACTGGTCAGGAGCCTGTTCCATTAATCCAGGGGAGACACGCTGGGGGCTGGGACCAGCCTGATGGCTCAGGCCAGAGTGACCTGTGGTCAGAGTCTGGTTGTATTTTGAAGGTGGATGTAGAGACCTGGGTGATTCTTTCCAGCACTCTCCCTCACCCTGGAAGGAGGCTAACATTGTGATTTCCTCTCTCGTAGGCCAACTCGTCACTTACTCCAAGGGTCTGCAGCCCCCTGCCGCTGGGCACGATGACGGTGAGGGGGGCCGGACTGGCCCCAGATCCAGCCTCGCCCACAACTGTGGCAGCCTCACCCAGCGTCTCTGCGATTCCCGAGGGCAGCCCCACAGCCATGGAGCAGCCTGTGTTCCTGATGACAACTGCCGCTCAGGCCATCTCTGGCTTCTTTGTTTGGACGGCCCTGCTCATCACCTGCCACCAGGTACCTGGCCAGTCAGGAGCCCCCAAGCCACAGAGCCCCTAAAGGCCCTCTAGAAGGATCCTGAGAGGTTTATAGGCCAACAAAGTATTAGTTAGGCTAGGCTAGGCCAGGCCAGGCTGCAGTAATAAACAAACCCCGAAACCTCAGTGGCCTCACCAGGCGGAAGCTGACTTCTTGCTCACGTCCCAGCCCAGTGCAGGTCAGGTTCCATTTTGTGGCTCCAGCATCTTGCAGCTTCAAGGCATTGTCATCTGACAAATGGGAGGAGGGACAAGTGGAGAAGGCACTCTGGACATTTAGCCATCTCAATCCAGAAATGACACTTGTCACTTCTTACCTTCCACGGCCAGAACTGGCCATGTGTCCAGCCTGAGCTGCAGGGGAGCCTGGGAACTGTTCAGGAGCATGTGGGTGTCAGTGACTGCTTCACAGATAAGAAAATGGAGACCCAGAGAGGGAAGAGGGCGGGGGAACTAGCCTGGTCACATACAGGTTGGTGGCAGAGCTCGGAGAGAAGTCAAGTCTCCTGTACTTGCCGTCCCAGAGGAGGCTGCTGTGGCTGAGACATGCCTTGGCTGCCCGAGGAAGGAGAAGTTTGCAGGTTGCCCAGCGAAGAGGGAAGGCTGAGCCCGTTTGTGTCCCGTCAGCTCCTCGCCTGCTGCCCTGGGATCCCCGTCCCTTCCAGAACCCGATTGCTTCCAAGGCATTTGGCTCTTAGCCGATGGAGAATGTTTGCTCTCTTCTTCCCGAGCCCGGGGCCAAATGTGAAGTCATGAGAGCTGGGACGAGAGACGCAGGCTGCTGGGCCTGAGGACCGGCTGCAGCCGTTCTTGGCATTCGTGTGTAGCTTTTATTTTTTCCCCTGCTTTCTAAAAACCACATGTCATTTTCCCAACTTGCCAGTGAGGCAGGCAGCGCTGCCTCTGTTTAACAGATGGGAAAAGGAGACACAGGAGGAGCACATCACTGCCGCCACTCAGCCAGGAAGCGCTTCCACCTTCCAGAGAAGCGAGAGTCCCGTCTGTCCCTCCCTCCATGCCAGACGTCAGTTAAGGGATGGGGCTGGGCAGGCGCCCACCTGGACGCCTGTGTTAACTCAGCTCCCCCGGGACCAGGTGTTTAGGAAGGACGGGGTCGGGGCACACACAGTGATTGAAGGCCTCCTCTGCACCATGTGCCCGAGGTTCCGAAACCTGGCTGTGCGTGCAGGTGCCCGGGGAGCTTGTTACAAATGTGGTTTCCCCACCTCGTCCTTAGCTCTGATGTGGACAGTCTTGGGTGTGGTCTCGTGGCCCCTGTGTCTGGGAGGCCAGCCTTGTGCCCCCCGTGCACCCTGCAAGCTCTCCACGCTCCTTGGTTTGGTGCTCACCACGGCCCTATGCTGGAAGCGTGCTGATTCATTTTACAGAGGACACTGAGGCTCAGGGTTGAGTAACTTGGTCACAGAACTAGTAAGTGGCAGAGTAGACAGCAAAGCTCGTTCCTGTCCCCTCAGCCGGGCCCCTCCTCCCGTGCTGCGGCGACAGTTGCGTCTCTGGCTGACGTGGCCTCTCTGCCCCCAGATCTACATGCACCTGCGCTGCTACAGCTGTCCCAACGAGCAGCGCTACATCGTGCGCATCCTCTTCATCGTGCCCATCTACGCCTTCGACTCCTGGCTCAGCCTCCTCTTCTTCACCAACGACCAGTACTACGTGTACTTCGGCACCGTGCGCGACTGCTACGAGGGTGAGGACACGTGCGGGGCAGGCCACGGGGGCTGCACGCCCCCCCGCCTGGCATCTGGGAGCTAGAAGCCCCTCTCCCCAGTTCCTCCTCGAGGCCCCCTCACTTCTTTACCCACTTCAGGGTCTCCATCCAGGCCCAAATCGACAGGTAACAGCACACGTGTAGCCCGAGTGTCACCTTGCGGGGGCCCTGTGCGATGTGCCTCCCAAACGGCTTTACAGACACCTGGAGGCAGGGAGCCTCTCCCTGGGGCTCGTTCCTCAGTTCCGGCATCTCTGATGGGGAGGGGGCAGCAAGGAAGTGGTCCATTTGTAGAGAGAACCACAGGTACAGATGAATCAGGGCTTTATCCTTAGGGCCGTGGTAAAGCGGTGGCAGGGCTGGGCCTCCATCCCCACGTTTGTTAATTCTGAGGGCTTTGTCCCGGGAGAAGCCATACTGTGCCACCCAAGAAGGCGACTCGCTCCGTTTCAGGGGCCTGTGTTCTCACGTGTGGTGTAGAAGCGTCGCCTGCTCCGGTGCTGAGCTCCAGGCACGGACCGGGCCCTCTGCTGGGTGCTGGGCTGCAGAGGACGGCCAGCCCTCACCCCACCTGCCCTGCGGGAGTCTGTGCCACCTGAGCAGTCACCACGAGGAGACAGGAAAGCTCTCTCACGGGGCCCAGGAGCCCTGGCCTGGGAAGGTGCTGGACAGTTGTGCTGGAGACTGGCCACCACTAAGGAGAGGCCAGCAGCTGGAGAGGGGATTGCCCTGGGAGGCAAGGATGGGGACATATACAGCCTTGCAGGCCAAACAGAGAAATTTACATTTTCTTTTTCTATTGATGCATAAAAATATGACACGATTGGAAACAATAGGTTAGAAAAATCTCCATGTCGCGGGTGCATGAAGGAGGGAGAGGCCAGAGGCCCCAAGACAGGTCAGCGATGCCCGGGCCTGCACTGGAACAGGCCAGCAGGGGTGAGGAGGAGGGGTCCTTGAATTCACCTCTGACACCCACCCTCTTGTGGTTGTGCGTTTTCCAGTTTTCCTCCTCGTACCTCCACTGCCAGTTTCAGATAGAGTGACCACATGTGGGTTTTCTTATGCTGATGCCGGGCAATGCTGACCACGACTGCTTGTCTGCTCCCTTGACCCGGGAGGGCTTTGCCCCCGGCCCTGGGCTCCATGGATATTGGCGTGCAGCATACTTGTCGCCTAAGAAGCGGGAATCTCTCTTCCTGTCCTGCTTTGAACCCGTGCATCCTTGAGGGCTCCCAGGGCACAGGAAATGCCTTTGGACTTGGCGAGGAAACGCAGGCGCCTAACGGGAGCACGCTGCCCCAGCCGCAGGCCCGGCCTCCTTTCCGGCCAGGGCACCTCAGGCCTTTCCCCGGTGCCTGCAGAGCTCTTCCCCCGGCCAGCTCCTCCTCCTCCTCCATCTTGACTCCAGTGTCTCCTCAGGAAGGCTCCGCCTGTCGCTCTCACTCCAGCACCCTGTCTGTGTCCTCATGGCCTTACCGCGGTTTGCGGGTCAGTGCCCACAGCGTGGACCTGGTCTGCTCTGTCTCCCTGAGTGGACTGTTAGCTGTGCGAGAGCAGGAGCGGCTGGGCTGACAGAGCCAGGCACATGGGAGGTGCTCGCTCGCACCGTATTTTTTGAATGAATAAGTGACTTTATCAAACACCTGCTCCATGCCTTGTGTTTGCCCACGTGGGGCCTCATTGAATTCCCAGGCTGGTGTTCCTGCCCGGCCCTGCCAGCTGAAAATACTGAGGCCTGGGGGGACCTGCTCAGGGCGTAACTGGGGCTCCAGTGTCTGATGTTCCTGGAGGCAGCAGAGTCCCCAGGGAAGCCTCTGGGTACCTGGGGAGCCATAAAGGCTGGGCTTGAGAGGGTGGGGCTGAGAAGCCTTTTCTGACCAGTTGCCAGCCTTGCATGAGTATCCAGGAGCAGCGTCTGCCCACCGGTTCTTCAGCAGGAAAAAGCTCTTCCCTGCCAAGGCGGGGGCCTCTCCTGTGTGGTCGGTGGGGGCAAGTGTAGGCTCCCTTCTCTGCCAGGCTCTGAAGACTGGGGTGCCTGGCAGAAGGGGGGCCGCACAGCCAGGGAGCCTCGGCACCAACCTCACTCCCTGCCCCAGAGGCAGCAGCAGGTGGTTGGGGGGCTCCCCCCGCTCCAGAAGCCTCTTTGTTCAGGCCTTGCCTGTCCCAGCCTTCCTCGCAGCCTGTGTAAAGGTCCTCGCAGCAAGCCTGCTGCCCTGCCAAGCACATCGCCTAGCAACGCTATTATCCCCTTGGCCTCTCGGAGGGAGTTTACAAACAGCCCGACAGCTGCTGTGAAGTTCAGGCTGCCCTGGAGTCCACCAGCCTGTGGTGTCTGGGTTGTGGGCGTGGCCCTGGCTTGCCCTTTTCCGCACCTCTGCACTGTGTTTCGGACCCTCTGCCGTTGTTCCCTTATCTGCAAGTGCTCCAGCTGCCCACAAGCCCTGCCACTGTGGAGGTGGTGATGGGCTGTGTCCCTTAAAATTAAAAAGAGCTCCCCATTCATTGCCCCTCCCACCCTTCCTCCTCAGTGTCCCAAGACCCAGGAAGAGGGCAGGAATAGACTGGGCTGGAGAACTCTCATTTCAGAGCCAGCCAGGCCTGGACCAAAGCCAGCTCAGAGCCAGGCTCTCCACTGGGCACTGCGCACACATTTGCTTTTCTTTTTAACAAAATTAAAACAACTAAAATTTTACTTTTATTGAAGTACAGATCTTCCTCGACTTAAGATGGGGTTACATGCCGATAAACTCATCGTATATCGTAAGTCAAAAATGCATTTAATACACCTAACCTATCGAACATCATCTCTTAGGTTAGCCTACAGTTGGGCAAAAGCATCTAACACAAAGCCTATTTTATAGGAAAGTGTTGAATATCTTGTGATTTATTGAATGCTTTACTGAAAGTGAACGACCGAGTGCTTGTGGGTACAGAAAGGTGGTAGGATGTCGGTTGTTCACCCTCCTGATCACGGGGCTGACTGGGAGCTGCGCTCACTGCCGCTGCCCTGCATCACGGGAGGGTGTAGTAGTGCATACCGCCAGCCCGGGAAAAGATCAAAACCCGAAACTCCAAGTACGGTTTCTACTGAACGCATATTGCTTTTGTACCTTTGTAAAGTCAAAAAATCTTAGGAACCATCGTAAGTCAGAGACCAACTGTAATAGGTGCATATGGTTGTAATGCAAAACTGCCCTGACTCCTCCTGATTCCCAAGTTCACTGCGCTTTCAACTCTTTAAACTGTTCTTTTTTTTTTCCTAGAATAACCTAAAAATATGCTTATACTGTTGATTTTTTTTTTTTTTGAGGAAGATTAGCCCTGAGCTAACATCTACCACCAATCCACCTCTTTTTGCTGAGGAAGACTGCCCCTGAGCTAACATCCATGCCCATCTTCCTCTACTTTATATGTGGGATGCCTACCACAGCATGGCTTGTCAAGCGGTGCCATGTCCGCACCCGGGATCCGAAGCAGCGAACCCTGGGCTGCCGAAGCAGAATGTGCGCACTTAACTACTGCACCACTGGGCCGGCCCCAATTGATTTTTCCATTTTAGGTAGAGTTCCGTAGTGACTTCCTACTGTAGAAGGCCTTGATTTAGGTATCTCCCTCCCAACCATCCCCCCCACACACGGTTTTCTTTCCTATGTCTTTTCTGTGTGACTGTATCACAGTGTTTTCTAAGTCTGCATTCAGTGTTTGCATTATTGTGTGTCTGTGAATGTTTTTCGAAGCTGAGCCTCACGGTATCCCAAGACTGCATTTCCTTGTACAACTTTTTGTTCTTCCTCTGGTTACTGCTTGGCTTGCTTTTTGGTTTGCTGTTTTCTGTGTATCTATCATTAATTTGTTCCCAAATGCTTCAACTGAATGAAAAAGAGAAACCCTCCTCAGTGCAGTCAGACAGTCAGTTAAGGATCTGTTAGCTCTGGGTTTCCCGGGGGCGTTCTTCCCGGAGCGCTGCCCTCCTCGCTCCGGGCTGGCCTCGTTGCTTTCAGGCCTCTTACTGCTCAGCTGTTGTCCTGGGTCTTTCCTTCACCGTCATCCCGGAATCCTGTTCGCCTCTCCCGTGCTGAATCACCTGTTCCCTGGGTGCTATTTTTTTTCACTTCTGTGGTTTTTTTCTCTCTTTTTGGTTAGAGCACATCTTCCAGGAGCTCCCTGAGAAAATGGGTGGATGGGACTTCTATTTTTTGAAATCTGAAAGTTGTCTGCAATTATCTCTATTATATTGTTGTGTTTGTTTGGTATTCAATGGGAATGCAATTCTAAGTTGGAAATCATTCTCCCATGTTTTTCGCCGTCTTTTAGCTTACGGTGTCGTTTTTGGAAAGTCTCTTGGATTTGATGCTTAATGCCGGGATGTGACCTGCTTCTTTTTTTCTTGCTTTTAGAAGGTCTTGCCTTTATCCCCAGTATTCTGAAATCTCACAAGAGGTGGGATATTCGTTGTGCGGGGCACCTGGTGGGCCTCCCCTTTGGGTGATAGGACATGGGACATTTTCTCTGCCATTTTTATGCAGCGGTGGGGCAGGCACCAAATGAAGTCTGATTCTGGGCCTGTTCCCACAGAGAAGAATTTTTCATTTCTAACCTGGGAGATGAAAGCTGGGCAGGCTGAGTTACGGGTGCAGATAGGGGAGGAGACCTGGATGTCCTGCCCTTCGTATTCAGACTTCGTCTCTATTTTCTGCAAGTGTCCTCATCGCTGCCCTCAGCTGGGCCAGGTTCTCTGAGGACAGAGCCATCCCAGCCTGTCTTGAAAGTGCAAACCCAGTCGCTGCAGGTGGAGACTTGTAGCCACCTTCTCCCGCACCCGCACCCTCAGAACTGCCAGTATGTCTAGTTCTAAGGGTTTCTGGGGTTCTTGGCGGCTCCCTCCCCTCCCTGGATCAGTGACCGTGCTGCATCTCCCAGAGCCTTTGTCACCATCTCTTGTCGTCTGTCTCCCGTGCCCTCTCCTTGTCCTTGAA